TTGATCATCCAACCAGGCCGCCAACGGGAGGAAGCTGAACGAAACACCCGCTTCCGCCTCATCCAACGAGGGGCCGCCCTAGAAGGCAAACTCCTCCCGAGGATCAGGCAAGGAAACTACCCGAACGAAGGACGACCACCGGTCGGCATGGAGGAACGGCGGCACGAGAGATGGAGGGAGAGGGCCCAGTAGTCAGGCCAGCGTATCAGGCCGAGCTACGTCCTCTCCGGGAAACACGCGAAAAGCGGCCACGTGGGCTAAGACGAGGAATCGGTCTGAGACGAAGGAGGGGAGGCCGACAGAGGCGGCGCAAGACAAGGCGTGAAGGATGAGGCGCTGAACGGAGCCAGTCAGCACACGGCCGAAAGCACACAGAGAGGGAGACATACCACCCAACGCCACAGACGGGGAAAAAACAAATCACTGGGAGAAGCAGCGTCGGCAGCGAGGAGGGGCGCAAGAAGGCCACGGCCCAGTTGTCCAAACAAGGGGCGAACATCCTGAAGAGAGCCGTCCTCGCGACGCCAGACGAAGGAGGAGGGGAACGCATCAAATAGAACACCGAAATAGAGGTGATGAGGCCCGAAGACAAGCGGCTGCCACAGACCGGCCTTCATTAGGCGGTCGAATTCGCCCTGCCATAAGATTCGGCGGGAAGACGACGGCAGCGGGGGCGCTGCAGGGGGGACTGGGGGAGCGGGAGCTTGATGTGAACAGACTACGGGGGCCAACCGAGGGAGCAGCTTGGAGGAATAGTCGCCGGCTTGAGACGGGGGCAAGTCCTCCAACGGGCGGAGGGGCTCGAACGACTCCCGGTACGACGGGTCTCGCCCTTGCGCGATGGGCCAGGAAGCAGGAAACTCGACGAGAGACATAGAGGCGAAACGGACGAACAGACGACCAGGCTCCGAGGATGGGGGAACCATCTGAGAGCCGAGAGGGGGGTAATAACCCAGAGCGGTACAAGTTGGGGGACGACATGAAGAGGATTAGAAGGAGAAGCCCCGGCTTATATGGGGGAACGAACACGTTCTATATCGAACTCGACCGAGGCGCGCAGCACAGCCTACTCGCAAGCAATACGAACAAAGGACGCGCAACTGAATTGAAAAACACCTACGCTATACCGCACGTGACCGCGGTGAAACACTTGATGGACAGGAAGAATCGATCTGCGGACGCCACGAGGCGACAGAAGCCGCGGGAGATTAAAATGCGCAGCCAAAGCTTAGCTTAAGCTTATGGGCTGGATGGAATTTGTGATTGGAAGGACGAGCTAGAGTCAAAATTAAACCCGAGAAACCGGGGCGACCGAGCCACGCCGACTCGAGACGAGTCGTTCCTAGGGAGGGGGTGATGTCACGGATAAGACCCGGCCCGTCCGCTCCGGCGCTGGTGTCGGGCCATTGCGGGCCTGTAACACGCAGCACGTGACGACGGGGAACATGCGCCCCAGTAGGAGGAACGCACACGTGGGAAGCACGTGACCGAAAGCAACGCGTCGAGCCGTCGCCGAGCCCAACTCGACACCAGGGGACTGGGGAGGAGTGCTAGGAGGTCAGGAGTAGCGCCTGGCCCGCAAGGGATGTGCGATCGTCCCCTCTGCGGCCAGGAACGGGAGCGAGGAGGAGGAGGAGAGGCCAGGGTGTCCGATCACCCCCTTTGCGGGCCCGCGTATATAAGGCGCGATAGTGTACCCTGTACTCTATCGCTTAGATCGTCTGAAGAACTACCTTACTCCGTGCGAGGAGACGCTATCGACTCATCGGGCCCGACACGACCCGATTCGAACCATCGACCACCGACTACGACAAGGGACCGAGTTCACGGGCCCTTTCGGTTTCGATCTACACCGCCCGCCATACTTGCGGGCCCGACTATTCGTCTGTTCTGTTCCGGGCGCGCGTTCTTAGGAGGAGTCCTTGCACGGCCCGACCCGCAGTCTGACAGAACCTTGGTGTTGTCAGGGCATCTGCAATGGGGTGTTACTACTGAAAAAACAGATATACTGTTAATGGCCTTCTGAGACCCTCCGTTACTATATTGGGTAATATGTTCCACAATTGGATAAGATATGGTATTGCATGACCTGATTATATGATCAAAGTAGTGATAAAACCTATGTTTATAGTCATATTTATTAGAGTCCTTATACTTTTGAGGAACATAGAGGGATTTAAGCCCATTTGCCAACAACTCCGCATCCTAACACAGGTCGTTTCTCAAGCGTCAGTTCTCCTTCCGTCTCTCCTACTTTTCGTTACCGACCCCTCACACCTACACGCCTCCATGACATCGAAGAAGAAAGCGAACCTGTTCCTACGCAGTGGCATGCTTTTAGCAGGCCTTTCAGCCCTGTTCAAGGTTGCTCCGGAAACGGAAACAATTCCGGTCAAGGTCAACAACCCCCCAATTCCACTCCGACTCTTAGTCGCAAGCCCGAGTCCATTCTTGACTTCGCCTACTAGTCGATCTACAACTCCTCCTGGTTTCCCTGGCGGACCTGGTGGTGTGTGGACCTGGTGGCCCTGGTGGATCTGGAAATCCATTCTGGGGTCCTCCAGAAGGTGGGGGTGGCGGAGGAGGCGGAGGTAGAGGTGGTGGACCACCTGGTGGAGGTGGTGGTGCCAGAGTCCCTCAAGCTGGCTCTCTGGGCCGTGATCTTCAACACGCTCCTGTCTCCTGTTTTGCTGCTCGTCCTCTGCCTGCTCTACGAAGCCACATCCTTAGGAAGCTTGGATTCAGGTCAAGCACAGTTGGACTTCAAGTGGACTTGCCCGCAATATCTCTCCTTGCTTCGAGCCATCCAAGTGCGCAAGTTCTGCGCACTCTGCAAGCCACCCACACTTCTTCAAGCACACCAGCAAGTGGTGAATCCAAAGCAATTATCCTGTCAAAATTCACCCCTCCTGCTGCAAACTCACTGCTACTTTCCCCACATGCCGACACCATATTTTGTCCTATCACCACCTCACTCCCACCCCATCCAATTCCACATTTGACCACACCCATATCCATGCAGTTGGGCAATGCTCTTCAAGCGATGGTGTCCGCCAAACACAAACACGAATGGGTGGGAAATCAACTGCTGCCAATATGTATAGTATCATTGAATAAATTTGTCATTATATACCTCTGTACAAGCCTGAATATGAGTAGCGCTGCATTACACAAAAGTCTATTCTGGTGTCAGGGGATGAGGGTCCAGGTGCCTAGTTAATACCAAAGCCGGGGCAACAGCCCCACAGCCAACTACTTAAGTACAGGGCTATCTGCGCACGGACCAGTCACGTGATCAGTCACAACTATCACATCACATGCTCCCCTTACACCAACCCCTCCTCAAGATCCGTCGCCTCGACGGATAGGCGGAGTGTAGGGTTCTGCGAACTCGTATTCGGGATCGCCAGGGAAATAGAGGTTGTCGCCTATGACACGCGATGACTGCGCAGGTACGCCCCCTCATCGGGCAGTCTGCCGGTTATGCGGCCGGTTTCCAGCTCATTGATTCTTGCACAGAAACCCTTTGTTTCTGTGCAAGAATCAGTGAGCTATAAATTGCCACTTTCAATAGCATGGAAACTAGTGCTGATAGGCGTAGTTTCCATGGCCATTTCAGGTTAGAAGAGAGAAGGGGTTTTGTTGGTACTGATTTTTGTACATGTTTGTCCAAATTCAGAGTAGGTTTCTGCTCAATTAAAACTTTGCATTTAAGTCGGCCTAATTCTACTTTAGATTGGTCTAAAATCAATCACAGTTTCTGTTCGAGCTGATATTTTGCTTTTTCCGGTGTGAAGCGCGTGATAGTGTCGGGCGCAGTAGGGGGGAAGGTTTCGGCAAGTGGTATGGAAGTGTGGGCTGCAGCAATGACGGCAGGGGTAGGGGCCGGGATCGTTGGAAGAACCCAGCGACTGCTGTCCCAGACACCATGGAATGTAGGACCAGGGGAAGGGGGAGCAGGGGGTGGAGCAGGCGTACCATACTCAAGACGGTCGGTGAGGCAAGTAATTTCGCTCTGCAGAAGCAGGCAGTACGAATACAGGTCAACAGGGACGCCGGGAGTCGTCATTGGAGGAGAGAAGGCAAGCACAGTAGGGTGAGGACGAATATAGGAGATAGAGAGGATCAACTGGGGCTAGAAGAGTGCCAGAGTCGATATAGAGGCTTTGGTATGCTGTCAGGGGATGAGGGTCCAGGTGCCTAGTTGATACCAAAGCTGGGGGAACAGCCCCACGGCCAACTACTTAAGTACAGGGCTATCTGCGCATGGACCAGTCACGTGATCAGTCACAGCTGTCACATCACATGCTCCCCTTACATCTGGGCCCAGAATCTATTCTGGTGGTGTTACTGGATCCCTGAGCACATTATGCTCTCAGAAGCAGTTCTGGGCCCAAATGAGTTTTGGACAACTGGGTGACCTGGTCCATCCAGTGTAAATAAGACCTCAAATTTTTATTATGGATAACTTGATAAGATATTATATCTCCAAATCTGCAACATATTTCCCTACAGAAAGATTATTTTTTACTATACCTATTGACATGGGAAAAATGTGACATGGCATGGGTTGATGCAGAGGTCATGACAATCAGTGCAAGATTCAGTGTGTATAAGCACAAACTTGAATCAGTTTGTGAAGAATCTCTGAGAAGCACATACACTGCCGGAGTTTGGGAATAAATGGGGCCTGTTTCAATCAATTATACACCTACAATCCATGTACTAAAAAAAGAATTTTTTATACCTCTATTTGCACCAAAAGAAAATGTTCACTTATATGATATATATCAGGGCCCTGGAGCATGTAAGTGAATCCTTTTGAGGTGTAAATGGAGATTTTTTTTAAAATTTTATATAATTGATCGAGACGGGCGCCGTTTGTTTCCGAGCTCCCACAGTGATATCGCTGATGGCCGCGATGTGATGCCCGTTCATCCGCCGTCATCCATTTGCATTATAAAAGCAAAGCGTCACAGTCACACGCCAAGCGCCTCCTCATTTTTCCCGTCATGCCAGGCCTCCTCGCACTCCCCCCCGAACTCCTCGAGGCAGCCTTCCTGCTACTGCCCCTGCGCGGGCTCATGGCAGTGTCCGCCACCAGTCGTTTCTTCCACGCGTTCCTCTTGTCATCGCCCGCGCTACAGTTCCGCTGGCACGCGCTCTGCTTCAAAGTGGGCGAGGAATACGCACACGGCGTACCCTTTGCGGAGCGGCTGGCGAGGCTGGTTCAGCGGGAGCGGCGGTGGCTCAATTTTCAACCGCTACACACTGCCACGCTCGACGCAAAGGGACTGGACCCTGGCGGCGCGTCGTTTGGGATGACGACAGCAGGAGTGGTTCGCATCCACGGGTGGCTCGGGGAAGCGCAAGAAGTGCGTTGGACAAGCACAAGGCTCGCATCGGAGGTTGGCGCGGGGGAGCAGAAGCTTGACGGGCAAGGGTTGCTTGCTCACTGTTCATCGGAGAGCGACGACTTGATGGTCTTTCTTGAATGGTACGTGGCTGTGACTTTGTGCTCTTTTTGGTTGTTAACATTCGCATTCGCAGTACGCCGGCATCTTCGGGGAACCTCTCAATGCGTGTCCGGTTTCTCCAGCTGTCGACAGGTCGTCCCCACCCTGCGGCCGCAGAGCCAACATGTGAATTCCTGGAGTACTTCCGGACAACCCCGCACTTTCACGACAGTGAACTCCCAACGGCGCTGGCAATCGCAGGCAACGTGCTTGCGGCTATAGTTCCTCATGACGAGGAGGACTCTGATATCGAGCCGGCGTTGCTATTCGTCTTTAACTGGAAGACGGGCGATTACCTTATGGTGCGTGTCGATCTAGACTGTGCTGGCGGTTCTAACCACAATTTAACAGCGCCCTTACCGGTGCCCAAGCGCTACCGTGGCCTTCCTTAGCCCCGATACACTTCTCGTCGCCCACCTCCCCTGGAACCGTCTCGACGCGCTGCGCATCCCCGCGTCTGGCGGAAATGCAACTCGCGTGGCCAGCTTCATGCTCCCGGAGCTGAAGAGCGAAATGGACATGGGCGAGGAAGACTCGTTCGTGCTCTGTCCGACGAGTGACGGCGCCGACGGTCTGATCCTGCTGACGTACCTCGTTGATCATGTGCCCGACCGCGCATACCAGCCGACCGCGCTACTCCGCCGTGCAGCCCTGCTCGAACTTGTCGACAGTGCCGAATCGAACGGCCCCGCACGTACCTTTTCCCCGCGCGACTGGCTCCCGCAGGCCGCATGCTGGCTCGACTCATGCCTCGATGTGATACGCCTCGCGGACTCGGGCCAGCGGGTGCCGGTTTACGCGAATCACACAGTCGCGGTTCTCGACGCGAACCCGTGGACTGTGGAGCTCGTGCGCCGAGCAGCGGAGGCGGAATCCGGGGACGCAGACGGAAACGGCCAGCCAATGTGGCGCAGGCTCGGCATCCGGCCCGGTGTGATGGCGGACGGGACGCTGCGCACTGAGGGCGGGGCTTCGCTGCGGCTCGTGCGGCCCGGCGTGGGACCTGGGAAGATCGATGGGTTTCGCGCATTTGTGGACCCGCCCGCGCAGTTGGAGCTGGGATACGTCGTGATCACCGCGCCGACCTTGGAGGTGTCTCCGTTCTTGCATCTGAATAGTGTGGCCGCGGTTGTTGGTGATATTTCGCAGTTGGACACTGCGCGGGTGCTGTACTTTGGCTGAACTGGAGTACATTGTGTCATATTTCATTCCAGTATAGAGGGGTCATGTGTTACTTGGACAACAGAGACTCATGTTCAACAGTAGCCATTCATGATCAAAGCTCTGAACATGTACATGGTAGTATATTTCTCATGTGGATTTACCAAAGCTTGTGCCTAATCTTTGGTTATAGTATGTCTCCCATAATTTCAATTTCACAAGTGGGGAACATATACACTCCAGTCTACGTCAACAAATGTCTTATAGGGCAGTGCACGAAGCGTTGTAAAGGGCAAGACCAGGAGGAACAGCCGACCCGTGGCGTAGAAAATGCCGCCTATGCTGAGGAAGGCATTTCCCAGCGTGTCGCTGGGGAAGAAGTTCACAACATTGGAGAACGCATCGAGCGCAGTTAGACAAACAAGGATGGCAGGTGGGGCAACTATGGCAAGTGTTGCGGCACGCCATAGCCAGCTCTCAAAAGGCGTGGGAAACGCATTGCCCCACGCAGCGAGGTGAATAGCGCCGAAGAGAACGGCACAGAGAAATTCGCAAGCCATCGCAAGTGTGTAAGAGGCATCAGAGATGTCGGCCGTTGCAGCGCACCAGAAAGCGGGGACGCTAGTGACGCCGGTTGCTCCCGGCGCAAATTCGTCGTCGGAGCAGACGCCGGTGAAGAGAATCAGCAACTGTGTGACGCGCGACACGTACGGCGGAACACGCGGCTCTGCGGGCCGGGGGGAGTGGATGACGATCGGGTCGCGGACGTCGAGCGGCTTCCCCCACCAGAGCAGCCACGTAAACGCGTTGATAGTCGCAAACGCAAGTGTGGCAACTTCCAGCTCGGACAGCGGGAGATTCTGCACCCGGCGGGCGATGCACTGCGCCACAAACCACAGCCCCTGACATAGTGCAATGCCTTTCGAGAAGAGATCGCCTTTGCTTTTGTCTTTGAGTGTGGCAGTCGATACAGATTGGATCCCGATGAGAAGATCGGGATTGGCGGAAATTTGGGCACAAGTTACGATGGGGTGGCCATCATCATCGATAAAGCCACCCATGCCGATGAAAAAGCCGTGTGCCAGAGAGACATCGTATTCTTGAAGTCATTAGCTAATCATGCGAGTGCTACTGTTGTGACGCACTTTCAGCGAAAGACCGCGCCATCCACAGCTGTCTCCCCGCGAATCCGACGATGAGTTCTGGGGCAAGCAGCGCCGCGAACATGAGCTTCAGACGCTGTTTTAGCGGCCCAAGCGTGTCCCGGAGGTGCCATATCAGCCAGTTCCACTGCCCGGCACTCTTCTCTGGCTCTTTGGGACTTGGAGCGGGGACATTTGGGTGTACAGACACCCAGATGCACGCGACGACGGTTACGAGGCAGCCCCAGACGATGTCAAACATGCGCCGGCACCCATTGAGCTCGGTGCACTGGCTGGCGCCTGTATCGGGGGCGCGCGAGGCGAGGGAGGAGAGGGCGAGAAGAAGGAACATCGCCGAAGCCTCGTTGCCGCCACTGACATTAGCGCTGGCTGACAGCGGGCCCCGGGAATGATTGATTTGGGGTGAGATTGGGCTATGTCTGGGCGCTAATCACGGACCGATTCTCTCTCTCTTTATATTCCTCCACGAGAAAGCCCAGCGAAGATGGCGTCCACTGCAAATTTTGATACACGCCTGGGGACGAGGACCGCTCCTTTGACAACGCTGACAGTGGACACAGGTCCTCGTGCGACAATATTATGGTCGGTCAAGTCGACAAGCGCCAAAATGAGACCGTGAATCAGCGTGGTCGGTCGATATACAAGAGCCAATCCACGCATCGAGCCCCTACGCCAGGCCGCTTGGATTTCCGTCGGCTACCGCGCTGGATGCGCAATGCAGTGATCGCCCAAGGTGCCAAGGCCCTTTGATGGCAGAGGCCTCTGGGGCCCTTGGCCAGGGCCCTTGTGCTCCTGGCCGCCAGACTCGAGGGCCTTGCAAGGCCCTTGTGATTGGATCGTGATCGCATCATTCTGTATAATTTGCATCACAACTGTCAACAGCATGTCAATCCAATACAAGTCCGTCATCTCAGATCATAAAATTTTCTCGCTTCTGCTTATTTCAACCACTGCTTATGTGACAATGTCCTGCTATCCTGTGACACAGGGAGGGCTCAGGCAGTACTTCTACCACCGAGGAGCTTGGCCAACAAGGACCAGTACCATAGTTAGCCACTATGCCTCAGGTCATAGAAATGCATCTAGACTGTCCATCAAAAATCGATGATGACAATCAAAAGGGCCCTAAGGGCCTCCTGGAAAGAGGCCTCTGGCCCTTCCAAGGCCCCTGGGTTCCTGCCGCTAGCCAAAGAGGCCTCTTGGGCAATCACTGGCGCAATGTGCATTGCGGTATGTACGTGAGCGCCGAGTCGACCGGTTGATCGGCTTTCGGAGTGACACCGTGACAGATGATTATCCAGGAGCAAAATCAAATGTCTTGCCTTTATTGGTAAAATTTTGATGGTAGCCTCCGCTGCACAATTCACAAGCACTTCGGGAGTTCAGGGATAAATGGCGCCCGTTTTGATTGATTATATGACTAAAATCAATGTACCAAATAATAATAATTTTTTTATACCTCTATTGGGTGACTTCCCATAAGGGAATTGAAAATGTTTTTGAATAAAAAAGCCCCTTTGCCGACATGCCAGCGGTCCCATCAGGACCCCATTGGACTGGAAGCCTCCTTTTGGCCTCCAATAAACCTCAAAAGTCATTAGATTTATTTAGAGGGTCAGAACTGTCAGGCTTTGGGTTAGGCTTCTCCTATGAAAGTGCCCGGAACAGAACAGACAGATCGTCGGGCCTGCAAGCAGAGCGAGCGGGGTAGATTTGAACCAAAAGGCCCATTAACTCGGTCCCTGGTTGTTGTGGGTGGTGACGCGCTTGCTCACGGAGTGAACAAGAACTAAAAAGGCAAGTGCTATCAAAAAGCTCTGATAAGACTTATGCACTTAGCAGCCAAACTCTCAACCCTTAAGGGACTTAAGCAAAGAGAACTCAGAGGGAGAACAGAGAGGAAACAGAGAGGCAGGCAGCAGAGAGAGATCAACAGGATGATGATTTTGAACTACTAAAAACAGAGGCTTATATAGACTAAAAGAACTAGGAGCTAGGAGCTCATATTAAGGAACAAGTCAAGAGAGAAACAGAAAGGAGCAGGAACAGACAAGGCAAATGAAAAACTAAGAGAAACTAAGGCTACTACCGGATATGGCTGCTGACTAAGCGGAGCGGTCACATGACAGGCGTGACGAGCAAGGCTCGTCACCTCCTCCCAACTGAAAAAATGACCGTCCGCGGTCATCAGAGTGGATATGATGGATGGTGGGAAAGTAAAAGTAGTGTGGGAAAGTGGAGGAAGTTGGAGTTAATCCGAGTCGGAGTCCAAGTCGAGTTCGATAGGCCACTGGGGGATGTCGCCAGCTGACAGGTTGTCCCAGTCCAGGGACCGCGGAACATATGTCGGAGAGTTGGCACTGAAGAAGGGTTGGCAGCCTTCGTTGGCGTGGTAAGCACCTGGGCAGAAGATGCAGGTGTCCGAAGTTGCATTACTATCGGCTGGCAAGAGGTCCGGAAGCGAAGCCGTGGATAGTGCAGGGGAAGGAGACCCGTGGGTAGCCGTGATGCGGAAGCCCTGTTGATGTCCGCTCTGATCGCGAAGTCATCAAGGAAGGTGTCGCTACTGGCAGGAGGCGTTGTGGCACGAGTACGCAAGGCAAGCTTTGCCCTGTGAGCTGCCAAAATAGCTGCGGCTTCGTCGGGGTGGGCGTCGTAATACTGGACCATGCGGCTTTGAATAGTGGGGCCGCGGATGTGTTTGGGGAAGTAGCGGCCACCCGGGAGCTTGTAGCGGCCGTTGGCATCAAGCTCGACATAGCCGATGTCAAGCTGGACTCGACTGGTGCGGCATTCAGGCTTGCCGTGGCCAGGAAGACCACAGTAGGGGCAGGTCAGAGTTCGGGGCTGTCGGCCGGCGCCAGGTGGTGTGGAATCAGGCACAACTCGGGCCGGGAGGCGGGCTTGGCGCATGGACTGAAGGTGTTCAAGTTCGGCAGCCACTTGTGCGCATAGGTTCGGGTCTTCCGCAAGCTGTTGCGCAATGGAGCGGCAATCGCGGGAGCGCTGGCGGAAGCGGGCGGTGATGGTGGAAGGACGTGGGGAATAGAAGCGAGGCATCGTGGCAGCAGCGTGAGTTCGTGTCAGAGTCGTGGCAGCGTCGTGGGTCAGCGTCGTGGGTCGGCGTCGTGGTTGGGCAACAGCAGCAGCAGCGTGAGGTTCAGCAGCGTGGGGGTCGTAAAACTGTGTATTACTTTCAGGGTCAGAGTATTTATTGCAACAAGGTATTGGATTGTCCGCTGAGGGGTGCATCAGTCAGTCGTGGGAAGTCGTGCTAAATTGCGCAAATTTCAAAGGTCTTCATCAGGATCACTCATTGCGGTGTCCTCCAGCTCTCTCAAGCGAGCCGTGGAGATATCCAGGAAGTCCTCAAGGGGTGGAAGAGGGATGGCCGATCTAGGGAAATAAGGAATCACGCGGAAGGCGGCAGTTGGCCGATCAAATACCGCTCCATCCAATTCGGCAAGGATGTAAGCGCCGCCGCGATTGCGTGAAATCACGAGCAGCGGGCCCATGTAACGATCACGCATCTTTAGTCCAATCGACTTGTCAATTGCTGAATTTTTCATTAAAACCAGTGAGCCGGGCTTAAAGTCGTAGGTTGTGTATTGTGGCAGCGTGATCACGCTCAAATCGTCGCGCATCCTCCAGTCTAGCTTCAAACACGCGGGAGTGCAACTCGGCTAGCTGTTCTCGGCGCTTCTGTAGCGTGATTGCACGCCTGGCGATCAGGGCAGTGGTGGAGAGGGTCGATGTAGGGGGAGGAACAAGGTATGACGCTTCCGTGATGTCGAGGGGCAGTAGGGGATGGGTGCCAGTAACGGCGAAGTACGGTGAGCAACCCATGCGGCGTCGCACTGTGCATCGTTCAGCCCAGAAGACACTGTAGGCCGACATTGCCCAGCGCTTCTCCTCACCATCGGCGGCTTTGAACAGTGCTTCGCGGACATCGAAATGAGCACGTTCGACCAAGCCGTTGGCGCGTGAGTTGTAGCCGGAGATTCGGATATGTCGTATGTGGTATTTGCTTTCCAGATGTGTCAATGCTTTGACGAAAGGCGTGCCGTTGTCGGTAACTATCTCTAGGAGTGTGCCCCAGCGGCACAGAATGTCTTGGAAAATCCAATCGGCGATCGCGGCTGCCGATTCGCGCCGCAACATGCGGAACTCGGGGTAGTTCGTCAGCGCGCAGCGCGCCTGAACGATGTAAGCGAAGCCGTTGCTTCGCGGCATGTGCATAGTGTCGATGTGAATGCGGGAGAAGATGGGCGGAGGCGCGGAGACCGTTGGAGGGATGAGCAGTCGCTGCGTCTTGCGGATTTGGCACAAATGGCATGTCTTTACATACCAATTGATGTCGTTGGCCATATGTGGCCACCAGAAGCGCTCGGCAACAAGCGCGCGAGTCGCGTGGAAGCCCTTGTGGCCAATGTCGTCGTGGGCGGATTGCAGTATATAGAGCCGGCGCTCGGTCGGAACCACCTGCTTGTGGTTTCCGTGAGCATCCTTGCGCCAGAGTTGGTTGTTGTGCACAAAGAACTCAACAGAGTACTTCATGAAGGCGTCGTATTGGGCGTCCGTGATGTCGCGTGGTCGTTTGAGGGCTGTGTGCCACCAGCGGACCCATTCAAGGCGTGCATCGGCGACACGGGCCGATTCAGAGCGCGGGATCTGGTCGTAAGCCAGTAGGGCTCCAACCATTTCCGTGTACAAACGTTTGTACACGGTTATAACCGTTTTTATTTTCATTTAGTTTACCATGGTATGTAAATAGTAAATAAATGAAAACAAATGGTTTAAATGGTTATTCCCTGATAACAATAGCAGACATGCTCATAAGTATGTTACTACCAGGTATATATCTGGCTACCAAATACATACTAGTGTAGGACATACCTTCCACATAAATATAGATAGTTGTTGCATTTGTAGGCTTCTTCTTGAAGGAATCCATCACATGATCTGGTATCAAATAAGCCAAAGACAATGAATCTTGCCCTACATGCCCATCTAGAACAGTATTACAAGTGAGAAAATGCCATCTGTCAGTTGAATAAACCTTATAAACTCAAGTATGTACCATAAAATTGTTGATCATTTTATATTATTATATTACCATTTTTAACTGTTTTTAAATGGTAATAAACGTTTACTAAACGTTTTCTTACCATTTCCGTTTAGTTTACCTGGAGGTGTAAATGAAAACTAAATAGTTGGAGCCCTATAAGCCAGCGCAGGCGGCGGATCAGCCGGGTTCGGTACCGCTTCCGCGGCGAACGTTGCAACGAGCTGCTGTGGACGTTGGGCATACGGTGAGTCGTTCACCATGTGCATAAAGCCGTAGACTTGGTCTACCCAGTCGTCGAAGTCGTCTGGGGGTTCCGGTTCGTCGTGGGGCTGCGCAGGGCGTCGGGAGAGGCCATCTGGGCCGTGGTGGTCGCCAGGGACGTGTACGAGGGTGAAATGGAACGCGAGGATTGAGATAATCCACCGGTTGATGCTTGCGGTCGGTTCCAAGTCGGGGTTTGCAAGCATACCCTTTATATAGCGGGCGTCGACTTCAACAACCAGATTTCTGAGGCCTACCAGGTACAATTTGCAGGCGCGGAGTGTTCGAAACAAGCCATATATTTCCAACTTAGCTTGGGAAAATCGCGCCTCGCGCTCGTTCAGCGTAATCGAGCCGAAGCGCGAGTAAAATCGGCGTGTAAGGTTATCGGGGTCACATTGGGCAAGCAAGAAGCCAATTGCGATGTAGGAGGTGTCGACCGACAGGATAATCGGCGGTGCATCCGGGGAGTAATCGAGGGGTCGGAGAGCAGGGGAGTGAATGAGTGCGAGCTTGAGGTCGTCTTGTGCGGCGAGCTGCGCAGGGCCAAAGTTGAATGGGACACCCTTTCGAGTCAGTTCAACCAGAGCGTGCGCGCGGTGGCTGAAGTTCTTGATGAACATTCGGCACACACCTACCGTTCCCAGGAAAGCGCGCACATCCGAGAGGTTCTTACAGGGTCCCCAATTCACAATTTTCTCAACACGAGACCTATCGGGAATTCGACCGCGGGGCGTGCAAACGTGGCCAACAACAGTAAATTCTTCGGCGCAAAGTACTAACTTTTTACCAGAGAATGACCCGCCGGAGTACTTCATTCGTTGCACAATTCGATTGAGGTTGTTCATGTGCTCCCAGACGAAGCGGTGGATGTTGGGGTTACCAGCAATCGTCTCGAAGGAGCCGTCTGCGAGGCGGTACTGGCTGGCTGGGCCGCGAACGGGCACATCGTCGATGAACGGTTGCGTAAAGTCGGGTATTTCGTCTTGGAGGATGTAGGTTACATCGTCGTGGAATATGGGGACAGAGTTAGTCCATCCCATGGGCAGAGTAACGAGGCGGAGGGCGCCGAAAGGCGTTTGGAAAGTCGTGTAGTCGCGGGAAGATGTCGCCAAGAGTCGCTCGTCATAGTCAACATACAGGTCCAGTGTTGCGCCGCATGCACGGCCAGCGAAGCTCTCCGCGAGCTGATCAGTAAACGGCGGGACTCCGGAATGTTGAATCGTGACTGCGTTAAGCGGCTCGAGGGAGTGGACAAGTCGGAGGCTGCTGCCGTCCTTCTTGACCACACAAAACCAGCGGGAGCGGTAAGCAGAATTCGAGGGCTCGTAGACGCCCGCAGCGAGCTTAGTCTTGATGACATCGCAAACCTTCTGGTAGATGCCAGGTGGGATTGGGATATTGCGCTGCACCCAGGGCGTGTGCGGCATCACAGGCATGTCGACGGGCGGGAAGAAGTCGGTGCGGAAGCTGCCGCGTTCCGAATCTTCCCAAGCGAAAGCGCCGTTCTGCAAGCACATGAAGTGGTGCAGCAGGTCCCTTTCAGTCGGCCAAAGGAAGTTGCCTTGGTGCGCGGCGTCGAGCGCGTCGCGTCGTTCGCGGGTATAGCGGCCAGTGGGTTCAAAGGGCGGTGGATGCGGGTCCAGTACCGGCATGTCGGCGAGCGGGTCACCAAGAATGTTCCTCACAATGCGGAATTTATCAGGCAGAGCGTCGAGTACGGGCCGTATTTTCTTTGAGACAGGTTTATATTTTCGATTAGCGAATACATTAGCGAGTGGAGAAATGGGGGAAGAAAAGCCGGGCCGTCGTGGATCGGTAGCGCGCGACGGCGGCGGGTATCGTGAGTGAGAGGACATAGAGAAAATGGGCCTTAAGCCATCGTCGGAAGCGGCGGCGGGAAGGGAAGCAGGGTATGGCGGCGGCGGGGGCGTCGTTCATGATTAGGGTAAAGGCAGGTTGCGCTATGTAGTGCGCGCAATGTACAGGTGTCGTGGTCGTCGCCTAGGTTCTCGCACGTGGCGAGGTAAGCGAGTTGAACGTGTTCGCGGGTGTCCGATTCGAGTGTCTTGTGTGCCGATATTTGAAACGTGTCCGAGCGAGCGTCATGGTCAATAACCAGCGCTATACTGTCTGCGGAGCTCAGTGCTTCATACGTGAAGACTTGAGCTTGAGAAAACCCTCCTTCGTCACTCGAGATGAGCCACGCGGGATGGTCGGGACAGTCGCGGTTCGGCCGGTGTTGGGGTCGCGGATCGTGATGGTCTGGTCGTTGTTGCTGTAGTTGTGGACCACAGACTGCGTGAGAACATCAAAAGGACGCCCGAGCAGGACGTCGTAGGCCGGGTTTCGGACAATATGGACCTGGAGGTATAACACGATGTCGCGTAAGGTGAACGCGACGTTCCGAGCGACACCAAGCGACGGGGTAATCGCTCCGTTGGCCGACTGCATCTGTAGCACAATCGTTGGGTCGTATTGGAGGGCGAGGCGGTGGCAGAGAGCTTCCGACATCGCACAGATTTGCGAGCCGGGGTCCACGATGGACTCCACATACTCTTGGTTGTCGACGATGGGGAGGATGCAGCGTATGACGGTGGTTTTCGGCGGAAGTGATGAGGCCTTCAGGTAGGCGGCCTTGGTCATACAGTGCCACGAACGCGTCCGGCACAAAGATGCCATTCGCGTTGTGGGTTGCGGCCGCAGTGGAGACTGCATCGGGCAGCGAATCGCGGATTGCGGCTGCGCGGGCCGCAGCGTGGTCGTTTGTGGGGTCGAAGTCGAAACCAGTAAGTGCAGGGAGCGCGTCTTCACTGTTGAAGAGCTGTTCGGCGGGTTTGTCTGCTGGTCGGCGTGGCGTAAACGATTGGCGGGCCAGCGCCGAGACTTCCGGGCTGGCGAGTAGCTTGCGCGCCTTGACGGTCACATCGGCGTCTAGCACCGCGTTGAACACGTCTTGCGCGTTCCGCGGGTCGTGAATCGGAGGGCGGACGGGTGGCTTGTGAGGAGCGCCAAGATTGCGCTCTTTTGGCGGCGCGTAAGCAGCGTCACGAGCGGCGGCATAGGGGTGTTCGGGGAAGGGTCCCGGAGGTGGTGTGAGGTCAGGGGCGGCTGGTGCGTCAGCTGTCGCGTGGTCGTGGGCCGGGGCCGGGGCTTCGTGAGACGAGGAGGTGGGAGTAGGAGGAGAATCGGGGTTTGACGTGGCAGCGGGAGCAGATCGCTGATCGGCCTTCGGGCGGTGATCGCTGATCTCCGCCGAGTCAGGCGTCTCCTTTGCTTCTGCCCCCTTCTTTCTCGCCTCAGCTTCCTTCCTCGCCGCCATTCGCGTTCGCAGCATCTGCTGCTCGACGGCAATCGCTTCGAGCCGTTGCTCGTCGCTCAAGACGAAGGAGTCGACCGCGGGAACTGGCGTGGGGGTAGCGGGTTTCTTTACAACGTCGACGATCAGCTGGGGCGTCAGTTTCTGGCCAGGGTTCTGCTCGTGCCAAGCGAGGATTCGTTCGCGGTGGCACTGGCCTGCAAGAGCCCGGGAAGGGTATCTTCCATCGGGTAAGACCAGCTTGTTTTCTTCGTTTCGTCGGACTAATCCAGCTTTTATATCTTCAATCAACTTCTGGCACTCGCGCATGAAGTGGGTGAGGTCGAGGCAATAGCTGCAGCCGGGGTGGCGCTGTCCGGAGGAGCGGCCGGGATTCGCGGAGGGGTTGGCGTTGCTGGGTGTCTGGGGGGATTGGCTGGGGGCAGCATTGGTGCGTGCTTGACTGGCGAGCACGGCAACAAGCTGACTTATAGAGGTGAGCACCGCCTTTAGCTCTGGGTCCGTCTTGACCACAGGTTCGGCGGGGCTCGGGGTTGGCACCGAGTTCAACAGCAGGGACGGCGAGCCGGCAAGGCAGAACTTGGCCGCATCGTACAGGTCGGCGAGCGCATACGGGTCGTCCGCGTGGACGTTCGGGCGGATGATCTGAAGTCGTTGCTTCACAGCCGCTTGAAGCGAGGCGGGCTGGAGAGCACGCAAGAATGCGTGGCTCTGTTCAGTCTCGGAAAGCCGTTTCTTCGAAATGAGAAATTTGGCGATGCAAACGAAGGTTCGGAAGAACGCAGCCAGCTCATTCTCGGAGTGGATGCCGACACGGGCCGTGCTACCAAGGTGAGCGTCCCAATCTTTGAGCGTATACAAGTGCTCCTCATCGTTTCCCGCGTAGTGCGAGAGCGCGGCCTTCTTAAACTCATCATACGTCTTAGTGGCGTCTTTGAACTCATCAAGTCCTTCGACGAGCTCCTGGTCTTGGACGGAGAGGTAACGTGAGCATGCTTTCTTCTTATCCTCAGTGGTAACAATGTTTGCTAGCCCCATCAAGTACTCGACGTCTGCGAAGTAACGACGGAGCTCTTCCGGCTTGGTGGAGTCGAATTTGGGCGCTGTATGCGCGCCCCGAGCAGGCATTGGGATCGGAGTGGGAGGCATGTTAGTTGGGTTGGCGTTGGGTGGGACTATCGAGGCTGGGCGGGACTGGGGTGGTGCGCGGCTGGGTGTGGGAGAGTCGGGCTGGGTCTGGTCGTCTGAGGTATCTGTTTGTTCGTCGATAGGCGTTGGGGGGTTATCAAATAACCAGGCTAGTGTCGGATCACCGGGGCGATGAGGGGTAAGGGTGTTGTGTGTTGCGAAGGTGTCAGGAACGACGTGTAGGAGGTCGTCCGGGTCACCGGGAAGGTAAGGAGTTGATGTGTAGGGGTCGTGGATGGCAGCGAGAACTTCTTCGCGCAGTTCGCGGTGGGAAGTGCGGGCGGAGTTAGGCCGTAAGCCGTAAGAGCTGTCAGACGCAATTTTGAAAAGCCCTCGCGGTGGGCTCCAAAATGACGCGCTTGCTCACGGAGTGAACAAGAACTAAAAAGGCAAGTGCTATCAAAAAGCTCTGATAAGACTTATGCACTTAGCAGCCAAACTCTCAACCCTTAAGGGACTTAAGCAAAGAGAACTCAGAGGGAGAACAGAGAGGAAACAGAGAGGCAGGCAGCAGAGAGAGATCAACAGGATGATGATTTTGAACTACTAAAAACAGAGGCTTATATAGACTAAAAGAACTAGGAGCTAGGAGCTCATATTAAGGAACAAGTCAAGAGAGAAACAGAAAGGAGCAGGAACAGACAAGGCAAATGAAAAACTAAGAGAAACTAAGGCTACTACCGGATATGGCTGCTGACTAAGCGGAGCGGTCACATGACAGGCGTGACGAGCAAGGCTCGTCAGTGGTTGAAGGTTTGAATTGGGTCATTTCGGGCCTGATAAGTCGGTGATTCCTCCTTGCATGGAGAGAAGTGGTACTTGAGACGATCTAAGCGATAGAGTACATGGTGCGCTATTGCACATTATATATATGCGGGCCCACAAAAGGGGTGACCCTGGCCTCTTATGCTTCTCCTCGCCATTCCGGATCCTGGGCGCAGAGGGGATGATTGTACATCCCTTGCAGGCCAGGCGCTACTCCTAACCTCCTAGCACTCCTCCCCAATCCCCTGGTGTCAAGTTGGGCTTGGTCATTCTTGCTCACGTGCTTCCCATGTGTACATTCCTCCTACTAGGGAGCCTGTTCCCTGTCGTCATGTGCTGCGTGTTACAGGCATAATATTATGATCTCAACCCATGGAACTATACACCCGGGCACATCTCTTACCCTGGCCTTGCCGGCCGGGGAAAATTTTTGGCATTTTGTAAGATCTTTTTCTGAATTCAGCTTGCGAAAAAAACATCGTTTTATGCTTTCACCTCAGATTTTCACATGATGTTTCACTTTTTCTGACCTTCATGCAACATTTTCGATAACTTTTTCTCTCTTTTTTGGACAGAATCTGCCGTAATCCAAACCATTGGTATTGCTAAGACACAGTTTTCACTCAATCAATCCTGTCATTGGCCGACTCGACCATGAAGGGTGACGGAGTAACAGAAGTGTGACATCTGTGACTCCTCTCAAATGTGGTCCTTTTTGGCATTTCTGCCTCATTAGGGAACAGATCTTGGGTAAAAGATGCATTTCCACAACTTTCCAGGTAACACAGCATCAATACGCGCCGTAAAAGGCCCAGTTTCTCACCATGTTTCACTTTCTTGAACCTCACAAAATCACAACTCTGTCAATTCTTGTCTGATTTCTTAGATATTTTATCAGCAGATAGCCACAACCAAAAGCTTTCAATTTATGGACTTATCAAAAATTTGCCAGGCCATAGGAAAATGAGAATGTGAATCCTTCTGGAGGTGTCACATCACCGCTAAAGCTTGGCATGAGTGTCAAAACTTCGTGAATATATTCACAAATATTTGTGTATATTCATTCATGGGTATGACATTCACGGATGTATGCATTCGTTTCCCACGGATGGCACAAATGCGAATATGAGTTCTGGGGTCGAAGAATATTCGTGGGTTGATTGCATCTCGGAACATTCAGTTGATCGCCGAAAACACCCAGTGGCACTGCCTGTCATCAATGACTTGTCAAAAACCTCCAAGCAACAATGCTCGCGACCAGCCGTGGGCCAAGCGGTACACAAAGCGCACTCTGGCATTGGTATAAAAGGCCCCACAACGCCTCTATGCCCCTACCTTTCAACTCAACATGTCCAAACGAGCCCGCGAATCGAACCACATCACTAACGACGAACCAAATCCAAAGCGCTCGAAGAAGCCCTCATCCGCTGAGCGAGATGCCGATTTGTTGAAGCGCCTCCAAAAACATGAAAAGAACCTCAATCTGACCAACAATCAAGCTTTTCTCAGTACGCACACCTATTTTGCTTCCTGAATTGTACTCAGTTGCCTCTAGAAGCGCAATGACATGAATGGGAATGCAACAGCACAAGCTGTTATAGCCATTATATCGATCCACCGACAATACTGGTGGGAGAGGATGACAGAGTTGTCCGCTATAAGTTTGTTTGCAAGCAGTGTGTCCCATAAGTGCCTCGAAGCTGACACGACTTAGATTTCCCTCAAAGACACTCAAATGTGCTCGATTCGATACTTCTATAAGCAATCTCGTTAACCATGCAAAAATTTGCGACCCCGGCACCAGTGTAATCAAGAAATACACGACTGGTGGTGACTATAACGTTGGACGCTTCCGACTCCACCTTAGTCTCTGGGTAGCGGTACATAACCGCCCTCATCTGGCAGTCACCGACACTGAGCTCGTTAATGCCTTCCCAACCCTCCAGCCAAATGTCGCTGTGCCCAATATGGTTGCTCGGGACCTCAAATACACCTTCCAGCTCACTCAACCAGTGGTGAAGCAGCTATTCAAGGTGCGTGCTCCAAGCATTTCGTCTATATCGTCTCATGAACACTCTGCAGAGTGAGACAGGCATGCTCCATGCCATGCTCAATGGATGGACTCCGCCGAACGTGCAGTGTTTTGTGGGCCTTGTGATTCAGTACATGACAAACCACGAGCTGAAAACATTCTTATTGGATATGATTCCGTGAGTCTTGACTCCGCCCCCCGCTGGTCCATGTTCTGAATTGACCTTTGACCAGTCTTTCAATCTCGCATACGGGCTTCAATCTCGCACGTGCCATTGCGGACGTTTTCAAGGAATATGGCATTCAAAATAAGGCCTATTACAATCCTCAAACTCCTGGGCTGTCTACTGAACTTTACCATGCAGGTGCTTAGCATTGTTGGCGACAACGCGAGCAACAACGACACAATGATGGAAAATCTAGTCGAGATGCTTCCCACAACGGCACGGCTAAGCCAAGCAACTCGAATTCGATGCTTTGCCCACATATTAAACCTTGTCGTCAAGGTATGCTATCATGTTCTTGCTTCTCATTCAACGCAGGCAATTCTCTCCCCTTTTGTCCTGCCGAAGGGCTCCAAGTCGGGGGCTGGTGAGGACGACGATGAAGAGCTCCTCCAGGCGATGGAGGAGGTTGAATAAGCTGTTGAAGCTAGCGACAAGGCTACCATTGCTGAATTGGATCTTGAAGCGTTACTGGAAGCGAGGGCGTTGGACCTATTGCTAGATGAGGATGAGAAAAAGATGGCACAGAATGCGTATCGCAAGGTATGTCCCACATTTACTGTTGGTGTTCATCGGGAGCTGACTGCCCACCAGCTTAACCATCTCGGCCATCGGATTTTCAACTCCGAGCGCTTGCAAAAGCAGCTGGCGGAAATCGCGATGTCACTCAAGATCGATAACGCTGAGAAGAAACGAATGATACGCGCAATACTCACGCGCTGGAACACGATCTATGATGTATTCACCCGTGGATTGGAGCTGCAGCCGGCGCTTGACCGTCTGTGTACAACATCAACAGGGCGGTTGAGTATCAAGAAATTACTCCTCTCAAACGACAAATGGCAGGTTGTGGATCAACTGCAGATGTTGTTGAAGGTTCGTCTTCTATTTGCTCATTGCCAATGCTGACCGTTGTTGTAGCCATTCAAAGATGCAATGGTTCACCTCTCAACAAATAAACACGCTCACATTTTCGAGGTTATTCCCATTATCGACCTGCTCAACCAGCATCTCAAGGATGTTGCGCAGACAACCCAGACCACTCTCTTCATCCATCCAAAGGCAGTGCCGTCCCGCCCCGCCAAGTCCACGCAACGGGCGACAAGCTTTCTCACTGGTGTGAGAAAGAACAAGAAAAGCAAGAGCCCTTCAAACGGCTCTAACTGCAACCAAAGGCTACAGCACAACCAGAGAGGGAGAAGAAGAGGAAGACTTTGAACTCTGAGGAAACTCTGCTGGGGGAAACTATATGATATGATCTGGAAACTAACTAATGAACAGGCTTTTATAGACTACTAACTAGGAGCTAGGAGAGAGGAACCAGGAACTAGGAGAAAGGAACAGGAACTACAGAAACTACAGAAAGGAGCAGGAACACAGGGAGAGAAATCACAATGAAACACTCAACTAAGCCCACTACCGGATATGGATGCTGACTAAGCTTCACGATCACGTGACTCTCGTGACGAGGCTCGTCACGGGCTATGTTCACTGCTGTCCAAATGGCAGCCATAGCTGGGCTTGGGATCCTCGACAAGTATTACTCAAAAACGGATGATTCCATCATATATCGTATCGCTATGCATAAGTTTTCCTTTTCCTTTTCATTGTTGAGCACTGACAAGCGATTAGTAATGCATCCGTCCTACGGACTCACATATTTCGAGAGCATTGGGTGGGAAAAGGACTGGAAGGATACCACAGTAGAACTTGTGTCACGGATAAGACCCGGCCCGTCCGCTCCGGCGCTGGTATCGGGCCATTGCGGGCCCGTAACACGCAGCACATGACGACGGGGAACATGCGCCCCAGTAGGAGGAACGCACACGTGGGAAGCACGTGACCGAGAACGACGCGTCGAGCCGTCGCCGAGCCCAACTTCGACACCAGGGGAATGGGGAGGAGTGCTAGGAGGTCAGGAGTAGCGCCTGGCCCGCAAGG